GTACAGTTCCACTGACAGCAGGGCAGTGGGGTCAGTTGTGGTGAATAACAGGCAGAGGGGGTGACGTGGAGCTGCCTGGGTCTGAAGGGGTGAAACATAGCATGGCGATAGGAATAGGAGATTAACGGGGAGAGGAGGCTGAAATGCAGCTGGCTCTGAGTGTGGAAACTAAAGGGAGTCTGGGTGTGGAAGTAGACACTGAAGCAAAGTTTCCCCTGACCAGAAATGAAACAATGACTGTACAGTTACAACCCAAAATACTGGCTCCATTACACTCTGAAACAGACAGAATAGAATAGAATAGAATAGAATAGAATAGAATAGAAAAACAGATTACATACATTATTTCTCAGCAGTGGGAGCTGAGGAGGATGAGCAGTCATACAGTGAAGTTACTACTCTGTATGAAAGCAGTATTGTGCTGTTGCATGGCAACAGTTTCCACAGAAATCTTTGCTCAGAAACACTCCTCTTTGGTCTTCACATAACTGCAGCGAGCAGAAAAATGGGCTGACTGCAGGAATACAAATGAACCATTTTAGCTTGCAGCAGCTAAAGAGTTGTTTTTACAGGGAAGCTAAAGCAGAAGATGTAACCTGGAGTCAAGCCTTCTGTTTCACATCCCAACCATTTCTGTATCATGACTGCACTGTATTAGTGGATACAGTCCACATTGGACATAGGATAAAATGTGCAGTTAGGATAATAGGATAAAATGTGCAGTTTCTACAATGAAGGCAATAATTAAAGAAATGAAACGTTCTTTCTAGATTAAAGGCCCTTCGTTATAAACTTACATAATAGACAGAGAATTTGTAAAGCATTAATTTTATGCCTTGTATACTGACCTGACATTAAGATATACAGTTGAGGTCAGAAGTTTGCACACAGTCATAATGAGGATGAATGTTATGGTGATTTGGGGGTTTTAATGATGTCTTGAAACTGTTCTTTTACAGAGTGGAATGACTGTACAGCATTTATCTTTAGTGAGTTTAAAAAACATGATTTTGGCACACAGGTTTTATTTTATATTTTCTGTTAGCCATGCTGGATCAAAAGTATATATATAGCCTCAAATATATGCATAAACTCACTGAAATCTTTTAATCAATGGAGATGAACGTTCTACAGTGTGAAGTCAAGACCTGTTAACTTCTCATTAGTGATCCTGATTAGCCGCAACTAGTAGTTTGTCGTCGCCAGCAAAAAAGGATTTGTTCGACAGCACTCACTGGATTGACCGATACTCGGAACAATGGGAAAGTCCGAGGGAGATTTAAGGAAAAGTGTTTTAGGCCTCTGAATCCTTTCCAAATAACCGAAGATTCCATCATCAGTTCAGACAACTGTATAAAAGTACAAGTTATTTGGATCTGTCACCACTTTGCTAAGATCTAGAAGAAGAGCCAGTCTATCACCCTCAGGTGAGAGGAAATTGGTTAGAAACAACCCAGGAACCACCAAGACTCAAGCATGCCATGAACGAGTTTTACCTCTCTGTGGACTAAAAGTGTGCCAAGCAAGAAAGAGCCCCCTGCTCCAAAATCAAAACCTCAAAGCTCGAGTGGAAATTACAGCTGCCCACAGTGATGACAGTAATCCAACAATGAAATAACAACTACAGCTGTTCTCAAGTAAGGGTAGCTAGCATTTAGGAAGACTGTTCTTGGTCTGCATTATGATTTTAGATTTAGCTATTGTTTGTTAATATATCAGGAAACCTTAGTTTCAAAGATATTTAATCAACAACTGTCTAATCATAACTGGAGATGCAATTAAATGGTTTGTTGTTCTACCATCCATACTATTAGTGTGTTTAAGATCACTGTCTCGCTGAAGAATGAAACTGTTGCCAATCAGATGGTTTTTTAGATAGTATTGCATGGTGGATCAAAATCAGATACTTTTCCATGTTCATAATTCCATCAGTTTTGACAAGATCCCGACACCACTGACAGAAATGCAGCTCCAATCCATGACAGAGCCTCCACTGTGTTTTACACCTGGCTGTAAACACACACTGTTGTATTTTATCCCGATCTCCTCCGTACTGATGACAGTGTAAATCAGAAATTAAAAATTTGGATTTTCCAAGACATCTTGTCTCTGACTTTTATTGCAGTTCTTGTATAATTTGGTGTGCCTTCTTTCTTAAGACTGGCTTGTCTCTCACGGAAATTTTCCTACTACACTTCTATCAAAGTTTGGATATAATATTCTCAACACTAAGCTTTCCTGGGAGGGGCTTAGCTTTGCTGCCAACTTGGCATTTACTGCTAACAGTGGTTTTAGAAAGATCCTGCAGTCAGTGACCACTCTCTATTATGTGTTCAGGGAGTCACCGTCACATGAAAAAAAGTTTCCACTGGACTTTATGCAATCCTGTGTAAAACAAAGTACACCAATGATTCAGTAGGTTGTAGAACCACCTTTAGCAGTGATATCTTGAAGTAATCAGTTTCTGTATGACTTTATCAGTCTCTGTGCATTGTGCAATATGGCCAAACACTTTGTCCTTATCTGTCCAAAGGACATTGTTCCAGAAGTCTTGTGGTTTGTTCAAATGCAGCTTTGCAAATCTCAGGTATGCTTCCATGTTGTTTTCATAGAGAAGCCATACTCCTCAGTCTGTTTTCTAATTGCAGTTTTATGAACTTTAACATTTAACTTGCTAACTGAGGCCTGTAGAGTCTAAGTTTGGACATTAATAGTTTCTCTGAGTATTGCACAGTCTGAGCTGGAATATCCACATCTTTGAAGATTGTGGGATTGTGTAACACACCTGAATGCTCCAAACCAGCAAACTGACAACATTTCTGCTTTTTTAGAGGTGCTCACTTGCTGAAGACTAATTAATCGAGTGGATTTGATTTTTAGCACCTGGTTGCTCCTTACCCTCCTAATACCTCTCGTAGCTGTAAGGATTTCTTTTAACACAGGGTGCTGTGTAGATTCTCACGTTTACATGTTGAGTGCTATATGGTGAGCTCATAGCTAAACTGAGAAAATACTTTTGACAGTAATGGGACCACTCTCTCTGTGCCATAATTTATATCACTGCTATTGCATTTTTAAAATGTAACAGATTAGTGTCAGCTAAAAATATATAAAGACTACCATACATTTTTATGAGTAACAGGTGATAACAAGGAGTATAAATTGTCGACAAGTGAGCAAAAAGATTAACATGATTAATCGGGCCAGTCTTTCTTTTGGTTACAAACTGAGATTCAGCTGTTTTTTGTTATGTAATATTAAAACAGAGTTACTAAGATTCTGGAGCATTAAAGTATCTTTATTAATTGAAGCTTTAGCTGTTCATGCTCTGGTGATGATTTCTCTCTATTATTCTTTAAGATTTAACTCTTGTTTATAATGTTGTACTTTAAACTGTGCCACTTTTTTCTGCAAGTCAGGAAATAGAATATTTAGATTAAGCATAATCCAGTTGAAATCAAGCCTATTTAATGGACAATGACAAACTCATCCTGATATTTAATGTAATTATTCCTGTTTTGAAAATAGAACTATTGATTAGATTTGACACTCATGGCATTATATCACTGTCTGATTAAACTTTTCCTTTGTCTGACTCAAAATAATCGGGGAACATGAAACACGTGCAGGAACATCTTTTTTTATTTGAAAAAAAAAATGTTAAAAGATTATCAATAGCTCTGATGTTCATCCGTGAAACATGGGTGCTAAATCAGGTATTCGACCACAGCAGTGTAGAGGGAGAATAGAGAGATGTGAAGAGTATGTTTTTGTCTGATTAACATGGTCAGACAGATGAAGATGAGAGAGACAGATGACTTCATAATCTATTGAAAGAGCCAATGTAACATCTCATCATGTAGTTAGAAGCAAGCAACAACTCATCAAACCCGAGCTCTACACCTTTATCTGGAGCTCCTTTGACAATGTGAGCTCGGTGTTCGAGCTTCTCCACCGCAGTCACATGGTACCAGCTTATATCTCTTTTATTGGTCTTTACCTTTTCCTTTTTTTTTTACTCTCTACTTGTTGTCTTTGTATCTTTTCCATATTCTGCTGTTCAGACTATCAGAGATATTGTTCCACCTACTACACGCACCCCCAGAAAAACCTTCAGCCCACCTGTACTACGGTGAAGCCTGCCTCTCTAAATCCAGCTCAGTGCGATAAACTTGAAATCTGTGCTGATCAGGGCGTTGTGCTGTTACTGTGAAGCTGTGATGGTGATGGGCAGTGGCACTCTTGCTCAGGGATTTTAAATTTTGCAGCATCACGCCTCGTCCTCACTACTGAAACATCTATTTTTGCTGCAAAAGAAGAGAGGAGGGTTGTGATATAATACACTCCGGATAAAACATCTTAACAGTGGCAAATAAACGTGATTGATCATTTAAGAAAAAAATTATTCTCTTTATATTTTCAGCTTAAGGATAGATATAGATATATATATATCTCATTAAATGATCAATTTACAGCAAACTTACAGCAAATTTATATAATGGATCTCAAATAAATTACTGTATTCACACTTTATGTGTCCAAAATAAAGTGTCCAGTTCAGCGCTCATATAACCGTATAAAATTTTAGAAAGCTGTTTTTGAACTACTGTAATGGTGAGGTGGATCTGCGGCTGATTGTTATAGCAGTGTCCATGGTGCTAAATCGTCTATAGCTTACGGGTCCTTCAGCAGGGCAGGTTGTTGAGTTTGAGTTTGTATAATTGCTGCATAATGCTTCCCTCTACTGGTCAAAAGCATGAAGAGCAGCCGATATACAGAATCATTAGAAATAGTGGTAATGAAGAAGTGTCCATTCATGCGTGCACAGCTGTAGCAGCTACTGATAGTTTAATGCCGTCAACCTAGAAACATTCAAATAAAAGTCATTATGAGATAATACGTTTTCTCAAGGCTGCCATCTAGTGTTTAATAGTCAATGCAACAAAACTAAACGTGACAGAAGAAACGTGATTCAGTCATTGTTTTAATAGTTTATATTTTGTTATCTTCAACAGCTGTAGGAAAATGTAAAAATATCTTCATCTTCATGGAGTATATTTACTTTTTTAAGCCCGGATGGAAGATAATATCATCTTTTTCTGTATTTTCATGCACTACAAATCTTTACTTGAATATTCAGTAAATTTACAAAATGACCACAATCTTCTCCTCTAATGTCAAAAGCAACAACGAACAAAAAAATTAAGAGATAAAGACACAAATAAATGTACAAAAACATACTTTCTGTGTTTTAAATCCATGTGAGCCAGATTAATCAGCACTCTCTGTAAAAGCTTCATCTTCATACAAGTCCTCCAACTCTCCTTCTCTGCTTCCCTCTCTGCTGACTTTCCTGCAGGCAACAAACGCTCAGTCATGTCGTTGAAGGTGCAGCACTATGTGAGATTGCATGCGAGGAAGAGGAGGGAGGAGGGGTCACACTAGACTAGAAAAGTTATGGCGTACTCGTCCTTCACAGCAAAGCTTATCACTTGCCCCCCAACATCAACCTCAATAGGACGCAAGAGGGAGGAAAAGCCAACACAAAGCAGTTGTCAACAACACCATGTGTCCTTTTATTTTTGGTACAGCTCGTTGCTAAGAGATTTGTGTTGTCTTGTTCCTCCTAAATCCTCTTAAGGTTGAACAAACAACTGATGAGCTCCACTAAGTATGAAGCATCTGAGCTCAGCCTAAATGCTTAAAAATTTACCTCAAGGAAGGATGAAGGTGAGACGAAGACCCCAGTAAGCCCCAAGAACCACTGTAAGAAGGAGATGTGACGTAAGAGGCCAGGATTTAAAGTTTGTAATGCAGTTTATGACAAACACAAATTTTACTTTAGAAACGCAGCAGTTGGTTGTGGACAGAAATTTTGGGGAAAATTGCTTTTTTGCTTGAGAGTTAGATTAAAAATTTGATGACAGCTATATGTCTGTTTATATTTATGAATGTGAAGCTACAGCCTGATACTGGCTTAGCATAAATACAAGAGAAGAGCGGAAACTGCTGATGTTAATTGTAGCCTTAATCTTTAAGCGACAACTTAGAGTGTGTTGTGGTTTTTGGGTGTATGTGTAGAATGAAAGTCATACATTTGCAAAGTTTTGTTTTTACATTTCAGTTTTTACATGTATTGTGTTACTGTGTAAGATTTTGAGGTGCTGTTATCCAGATTTTGAGTGATGGTAGCTGTTTTTGCTGCTGGCTAGTGCTTCATATTTTACTGATAGACATGTTCTCTGCAGAAAAAGATCAGTGAGTTCAATTAATTCATTTTGTGGTTATATGTAAATAAGATGAATAAGATCATTTTTTTTAGCTATTTTTTCCCACCAGTTTTTTTTTCCAGTGACTGAAAAACTCTTGAGCGTACAAGCAGTCAAAAATAAAATCAAGCAATAGACTAAGAAACAGAATAACCCTACTTCTGTGATTGTCCATTAATAATATATTGTAATTTGTGCTGGAATTTTTTTAAAATGTCAAAAAAACCCTCATTTGTTAGTACTATACTATGATAATGAGTTGGAAGATGAACCTGGCTCAGGCTAAACATGAAGTTAATTCTGACCTGGATCAAAGTGCCGCACTACGTCATCCCTCCAAGAAGATCAATCTAAAAAGTTTTGATCTTCTTTAAGCTGGCTGGAGCGCCAATCAATACCTTTCAGAGTGTGGAATATTTCTGCCTTTAATTTGATTTAAAAAGCGTTGCCATTATTAGCTCAAATTATCAGAAGATTTCAGCATTTGCTCATCACATGTGTCAGATGGGCTTCACATATTTTGCTGAGTGGGAGACTGCAGCTCTGTGCTGTAGTACTGCTGGTGGCTGGGTAAGTGTGGAGGAGGATGTAGCTTCTCATCTCTTTTCATGGAGCTGTAATTAGCTGTGCCCCCCACAGACCGTTAATGGAAAACAAAAGCAGCGCAGCCACTACCGCTGCCACCAGGGGCTCCCACTTAGCTTATCAGGAGAGGACAAATGCTTTTATCTGCCTGCTGCTCGTTTAAGGACACAACAAATACAGTGTAAGAGCTACTCGGTATTTGAAGAATAATGCTCTTGATATGCTGGAACTGTAGATCTCCTGTGTGTAATATGTGAAAGAGACTCTACATATGAACTGATCTATTTTTATCCAAGCATCTGCTCGCTGCTTTGCTTTGTTAGAGGCCTAATCGCAGAGCTGGCAGTCTGGCAGAGCGGCGCAGGCAGGATTTGCAGAGTAGGCTACTTACGTAAGAAGACCTCCAGGGGCAGACATGGACCTCTCTGCCCGTCTGCCCTGACACTCAAAGGGATTACTGAAAGACCGCTTCCTCAGCATGGACTTCACAAGAATCTGAGGGACATCAGAGAGAGTATCAGTGAATTTGTGTGGTTTTGAAGCATAAAGGACTGAAGTAATTAACTTGTATTACCAGATGAACATTTAAAACATGCAGAAGAGATGTTTTTGTTTCTTTTCATTGTTGTTGTTGTGTTATTTTAACATGTTCAAATTAAAGCCACGCAATACAGTATTTTATTTTTTTTTAAATCAGCAGCCAGCTGCAGGTACTGTGGTCTTTGCATGATCAATCAGATGTGTGCGACTCACCACAGTGGAGAGGCTGGGGATGAGTTTAATGCTGTTCTGCACCTCCTCCTCAGTGACCTCAACAACCGTACAGTGCTCCTCCTCCAGAGGGAGAGGATTTGCACCGTTCTCTGTCACCCACGGATGGAGCTGCATCCGGACCACATATGTTCATTATAATTGATGTTGTTTCTGTGATTCTAGGATGTAGATGTGATAGATTTTCCTTCTCACCTTAATTTCTGGGATGGTGATTCTTGTTTCAGGGTTTTTTTCCAGCATCCTTTCAATAAGCTCCTTCAGTTCATTACTTATTAATGGCCTGTCAAAATAAAAGAGTTAGAAAAATAAGTGGATAGGAATTAAACACGTATAGGTATGTTAACATGTGACATAAAGCTACTGATGAATAATATTATATTATACAATAATATTAAATATCAAATCATTATAGACTGAATGTCAGTAAGTTCCAAAATGCTAAACAAGTGAGCACAAGTTTATAAAATATTTAAAGCGCCGATGAAAAAAAACAGCTAGCTGACAGAAGATAAATGTATTAAAGTAAAAACACAAATTACTGACTCCCTACCTTTAACTAGATTTGATAAAACACTTATGAATAAAGAAAATAACAAATTATAATCAAATAAATGATCAGAGACCAAAAGCAAATTGATTTGTTCCTATTTCTTGCCTGATCTCAGGAGAAATCTATTCAATGAATCTATAAGAAACTACGATTTTAACCCATACTGGTCCTACTATATTTTACTCTTATGTATCTACATAGAACATTTACACAAACCTTGAAAGTCAAAATCTGAGATTGTCTACTGAACAATCCTACAGTTTGCTTACGTCTCTGGAAACTCCACAGGTTTGTTCTTTATCTTGTTGTGTAGATAAACTATGTATTCATCATAAAAAGGACACTAAAGCAGGAAAAATGGAGGAAAAGGGATTCAAATGTTAAAGGATTGACGTAAAAGTGTATTAATCTACAAGCATCATGCTGCAAACATGCTTACCATCCCAAAGACGAAGCAGTACAGTGTGACTCCCATCGCCCACACGTCTAATGCCTGCAAATAAACACAAATGATCGCAGTGACACCACTGACAGGCTCTCAGCAGGTTCGCTAAGAATCACTTCTTGATACTTTCAACTAACAGAGACTGATATGTAAAATCAAAGCATAGTTAAATCACTGATGACCAATAGGGAAAAAGATCGTCTCACTTTTCCACTGAAGCTCTGCTCGTGTTCGGTCATCGTCTCCGGAGCCATGAAGGCCGGCGTCCCCGCTGTGCTTGACAGGAGGGCGTCTGTCCCCTCAAACTCTTTGCTCACACCAAAGTCTGCTATTTTGACGTGGCCATCATCTCCCAACAGCAGATTCGATGGTTTAATGTCCCTGTGAATAATCCTTTGGTAGTGCACTGCACAAAAAAATATAGATTTAACATTAATTTACATTACATTTACATTTTTCCTGTTAAGTTTATTATTTATGTACAGTTTTATATTCTAAAGTAAAAAAAAAAAAAACAGCTTAAAATTAACCTTTGAACATTTTCTCAAATATTTTTCTTTTAAAGTAAACATATTCAAATATTATCCAACAGCTTATCTGACCCAGATCACAGGGGCAGCTGTCAAAGCAGAAACACCAGACCTCACTGCCCCAAAGACATCCTCCAGCTTTTCCAGGAGGATACTGAATCATTCCCAAGCTACTGAAGAGACTCATCCTCTCCATGGAGTCTTCCTGGTTCTGAGACAGATCCTGACTGCTTTTGGTCTCCACACACACCTCAGCTTGATATTGTAAAAGCTCATGATGAACATATTTGCAGTTAGTAAAGTCAACTTAGTTAAGTTGCTAATCATTTTGAAATGTGTAGCTGTGACAGGAAAGATCATTTGGGCTTAATTTCATATGGAAACAAATTGTAGACACAGATGTTCACCCATTCCTGCCTTGAGGCTTATGAGTGAAGTGAATGCAACTGAACAGATATGTAAAATCAGATAATCAAAAATGTGTCATAAAGTCTCTGTACTTACAGTACTCTATTCCAAGGACGACGTCTCTGAAGTAAAAGCGAGCCTGCTCCTCCGTTAGAGGGTTGTCAGTAGGCACCTCCATCACCGGTCTGACCAACATGAGAGGTGTACAAAAGCAGAAATGTACATTAAATAGTCATGCTGTATCTAATCATCATGGTGGCATCCCCAACTCAATAAAATCCCAATTCAGAGCTCAATAGAATACATGAAAGCACAACAACATACCCTTTTGTCACCAATTCGAAGGCTTGAAGACAGATTAAAATGAGATTTTAATGACTTCTTGCCTTCTTATTGAAAACAGTATTGAGCCAAAATAGATTCATAAATTATAATAAATAATAAATAAATTATTGCCTACCCATGTGAAGTCCATCTTCATCAGGATCATCCAGCACCTGGAAGACACAGTAACTGATGTTTATAATAATAATAATAATAATAATAATAATGATCATTATCAAAATAATAAGTCTTTGGCTCCTTTTCCATTGCTAGTGGAGAAAGTTTAGTCTTTTTCTAGTCTATCAATCTGTCCACCACAAGCACATTTTAAGCACAAGGAAGCAGCACAAAGGCCAGTGACACAGTTACAGTGGTTGTTTGTTTTTAAACATCTTTTACAAAGACTGACTCAAACGGGGATAGAAGAAATAGATGCTTTTGGTTTTCTACATTAATATAACCAGGAAGTGTAAATTATGAGATTAATTATGGGATGACACAGGCACAGTTAATCTGGCATGTTTTTCATTGGCAAGAGCAACCAGGCTCAGGCACAGGGTGAACATGCAAACTCCACACAGAAGAACGGTCAGTACTCGGGTTTGAACCCACTGCTGTGAGGCAATAGTGCTGCCCTCACCTGGTAGCTAACCTCTGTTAAATCTACACTGTAGGTACGTTTTAACCCCAAGACGCTCTAAAATCTTAAAATGTAACCTGACGTCCAGCGCTCTGAAAATGTATCTACACCTCTCATTGATTCAGGCTGAATTAGCCTATTTTCTACTCCTCCTGTGCATTTCCAGCCTCAGTTTTTGAGTGTATCAGTAAGAAAATAACAACATTACCTCAGCATAATATGGCCACAATTCTTGAAGGGAGATTTTGAAAAACGATTGAAGTGAATGTGAGGGAATGTTCAAAGATGTGGAAAAACCTGAGCAATAGATATGTTTTCCTCCAGAGAAAAAACACACACACACACACACAAACAGCAAAGAGTAAGGACCCACCAGGGAAATACATCAGAGGTTTTTTTTTTTATTTGTTTCTATTGTGGCTGGCACCACATAAAATACTGGTCCATGACCACAATGTAATTAACACTACACACAGGGATGCATGCTGGCAACCGCGTCAACCACATATATAGGTTACGTCATAAGCTCTACGCTCCACTGCCAAAGTCTAAATCAGCCGTGAGATGTTTCCATCACTGCAGACTGGAGTTGGCCCTTACACCAGTCACTAATGCAGAATCATTTCACCCAGCAATTAATGTTTATGGTACCCAACTGAAGACAAAAAACAGATGTGAGCAGATTCTTTTTAGTCCATTGCTGGAGGTTTGAAGCTGCCAACAGCAGGGACAACTTTAGAAGTTGCTCGTCTTGTTTTCTAGAAAGAATAAATATCAGTGATTACTACAGAGTAAATCCACTGGGAGAATTCAAGACAAAAGCCTGATATTAACATACATTAGTGTGTACGTTTTCCATTGCGAAGGGGCTTAAACCACCCACCAACACTATCTAATATCTGCCTTTTTCCTGGATCAAATAACAGCTCATGATACGAAGCATGTTGAAGACGTCACTTCTGTGGGGAATCCCTCTGTGACTCTGTGTAAGCCACCATTTCCCTGCATGTCTGCTTGAACCTTAATCCAACATATTATCCAATCACCATGATATTGTCCCTGCCTCCAAGTTGCATTCCACTCTGTATTAAAAGCAGAAAAAGACTTTTCTATTATAAAGTGTTTATTGCATTCAATATCGTGCATACTTCAGCACAACTTTCATTCAAAGCTGAAATGTTTGTTGTGTTTATTTGTGTTGTTCTAAGCTTCCAATGAGATTGCAAGACTGAGTCCTCGTACCAACCTCGATCAGTTTGACAACATTATGATGGTCCAGTTTCTTCAGGATGGCGATCTCCTTGTACACGCTCTCCAGAGGCAAGGCGGCTTTAGGGAACAGATCCTGCTGTGACTTTGACCCTGAGGTCGGCAGGCGGCCTGGAATGCATACACATACATACACACACATAACCACTAAAACCACAGCAAAAAAGCCAAAAGGGAATTAATACTTATGACTAAGAATACTTTTACACTCACGCAAAAATCCACACTGCCTCATCAGCTTCTTCTTTGAAACTACTTTCATTGCCTAAACGAATTAAATAAAGCAAATTGTGGTAATAAAGGCAAACTGACATGTAAATACTTCAGTATAGTTTAATCTTTTGACTTACATAGTGCTCTTCTGAATCTTCATTATAAGCCAATTTCACTACTCCATATGAACCCTGGAGTGAAACACCAAAGGTAAAAAGGTTCATAAATCGCATTCCCTCACTTCTGTATTACCAGAGTATATGCTGTATCATGATTTTAATTTACCTTTCCAATCTCTTCCTTTAGTTTATACTGGTTGAGCTGGATACAGTCCTACATAAATGAAGGATAGAATTCCATTATCTGATCAGTAAAATATTAAATGATTTCAAAATTATGTGAAAATTATGTAAATATTTCTCACATCAACGCCAGTGATTGACACACGTTTGGTCTCAATGGTTGGCTGTCGGGCCATGCGACTCCCTCTCTCCTGCAGAGACATTTTCCTGTCTGAGAGGCGAATTCGGTTGGTGTTGGTGGTCCTTGGACCACCCGACCTGTAGCCATTAGGAGGGGTTAAACGGTTGGCGGTCACGTTCATGGCTGCCACCAAGTCAGCAAGCTCGCCGTTGTTCTCCAATTCCAGCTCTGGCCTGCTGACGGTGTCAGCGCTCATGGTGGTTAACTCTGACTCACTCACAGCTCAGCGTCCCAGAGATGTTTTGGTGAAGAGCTAGAGGACGCATCATGGTGCTGACAGGTTGAAGCAGAAACAGACGAGATTTTGATACTGAGATCTTTGACTGGAAGAAAGTACTACTGCATAGCCTCTGTCAAATATGTTGCTTCAATTTTTTGAATAGTACTTCTGTGTTGACATTTGCATCATCTCTGATTCATACAAAAATGTTCTGCTGCATTTTAATACAATATTAACATCTTAATGCACAATATTGCTGACTGTGATCACACCAAGAGTCAGTGCATCTACAGCTGTGGCGATGAGGTACAATGTTGCCTCTCATTAAGACACACATTAAAGGAGCAGGTTTTCCAGCCTTGTTAGAGTCTGTACAGACAGATTGTGGGATGTTGGCTGATGCCTCAGGGTGACACTGTAAATGTAGATGTAACTCTGACCTTCTGACTGTGTTTGTATTTGTTTTTGATAAGACTACAATGCTATGGCATTTCCGAGCATCTGGTTACATTTTTGCCTTAACCCTCCTCTTGTGTTAGCTTTCTGTTATCATCTCTTGTGTTAACGGGTCGGTTTTGACCCGTGAATTAAATCAGTTATAAAATACACTAAAAACAATAAGTGATCATCCAATTTGTTTCTCATCTCTTGGTTATCTTGTTAGGCTTCCTTATCCATGAAAATGTTGGTTTTAATACTTTTGGTGTAGGCCTGTGGGTCTTTTTTTGTCACTATACCCCTCGATTTCGATTAAAAAAATTGTAAAATTAACCTCAAGAGAATCATATTAATAAATAAAAGGTTTTTGTGTTACCTCACTATTACTGAGGGGTATAGGACACATCTCTTAAATAAATCTGTTTTATTGATCTTTTTCATTTTAAGATTAATTACTAAAATGACATCTATGGTGTTACGGGTCAATTTTGACCCATAGATATTTACATCAAGAAAAGACAAAAAAAATTTGTTGTTTTTTAGCAGTAGACCTTTAATATAAACTGAAAAAAAAAGAAAAAGTCCACTCCTCCTTTCTTTTGGTTATAGTCGTGGGTAATTGTGGGCTTTTTATCACTTCCCAATGATACAGCTACATCTTTGTGAAGTTTCCTTTGTGAAGTTCT